GTCAACACATATATCCACATACATGTGCATGGCCATTATAGCACATACTTTTTAAGAATACACTCTAAGAAAAAATTGTGTATAGGTTTGATGTTAGATATAAAGTTGAAGACTACGATCATTGTTGTTAAAGTTGAATATTACTCGTTATGTTAAGGTTCAAGTCTATTGACACGTTTGGTGATGTACTACTCTATAAAAGCATTTGACGTGACTTTAAAAATAAAAAATTAAATACAAATGGAATATTGTTAAAAAAATTTAATTTTAGAGTATTGAATGTTGGAACATTTCTCAAAGCATGTGTTAATGTTCAAATCTGGGTAGAGAACCGAAAAAACTTATAGGTCTTACATTGGACAACTTTCACATTTTCACATGTATATATATAATGGATGTAGTCTAACTGAATTGTGCTTTAATAAATATAGAAATTTTACAAGAAATGTCAATAATTAATGGATAATGCTAACTTGTGTCTTAAGGACGCATGTTATGAAATCTATAAATAAAAAATTTATATTGGAAAAAATAATAAAAGAAGTAATTATAAACTTTTGATAAAAACAATATACAAGTTTTAAGAAAACATATCTACATTTAATTCATAACATGTGTCCCTATGACACAAGTTAGCATTGCCCATAGTTAATACCATGTGCAATTTTCTGGACTGTTTTTGGTTGGACCGAACTTGGACTTACGCTTGACTTGATATTAATCTTATTTTAAATAAATGTGAAACTTTGTCACCATTCGTGTATTTTCTCGCACCTGAAATCCCTCTCATATTTTCTTTTTTAATGATCAATAATTTGGTTTATTCATTCATGGGTTGAAGCTAAATTTTTTATTATCAATAAAAACCTTCTGTCACTTTTCAAATCACACCAAATACTTAAGAAATTTTTTTTATTCTCTCTTTTACGCTCTTTAAGATTCTGGAGTCTCTTCTTCATTTTTGACTCGTTAAACTTTCTAAATATTTCTTAAAATTCTTTTCAAACAATTAGTTGCACGTTGAAAAAAATTCTGGATCCGAGCAAATAATGAGTGGTCTTACAACAATATTTAATGGTGTTATAGAAAGGTGTCTATAGTACACTGTATTGTTTCACTGATTTGTTCTACCCTGTAGTAGTAACCATTTTGGTGGCATACATAGTTTTTCGTAGTAGTAACCTATTTGGTGGCATACATAGTTTTTCGTAGTAGTAACCATTTTGGTGGCATACATAGTCTTTCAAAAGTTTTTGAAATTAAAAAAGAAGAAAACATAACACGATTGACTTTTACAAGGCTGATATCGGAAAACTAGTGAACAGAGTACTATTTTTTCATATAAAAATGGCATTGATAGCTATGTAAGATTCTCTCATAGAGGATTTGAATCCGTCTCTTGACATAAGATTGTCAAACTCTTTGTTCAAAACATTTAAAATATTGAGTACTACTTCGATAAAGCTAAGCAAAATATCTAATCAAAAGGTGGGAAAAAAATATCATTACAAATTTATATGGCGACTGTTCAAAGCTTTGCATTCTTGAATTATTCCATACTCGTTGAGAAGTTGCTCCCAAGTGAAATTATCTATATCCAAATGGTCTCCACCTGCAACATGGTACACCAAATAACAGTAAAATCACTAGATGTATCTAAATTTCATTTTAAAATTTAAATCGAATACATACTATTCAAGCCCTCAAAGAAGCATACAATAGATATTAATCCAAATTCATACACCCAATCCCAAACTTATAGCTGTAAAATCATTTTAAGATTACCTGCTATACAAAAAATACAAATCTGAATAACTCGTTCTCATCGTCTGGAAAACGAGGACAACATAAAAACACAAAACACATAGTAAATGATGGTTCAGGATGATTTGAACTCGGTCAATAAAAATGGTGAAACCAATTCAGCAAGATCTCCATAAGGAACTGAACCGTTAACAACCTTCTTCTCTTCAATGTAATCTTCGATCCTTTAAGCCATGCAATCAAATTCTTGTAAAATTAACAGCCTTCTTCTCTCCAATGTTGAGGACAGATGCCACTGATCCTACAAAAATTTACCAAAGTGTTTTACTTAATGAAATTTATATTATAAGATTGCATAACCAAAACCAAGATGTGTATAAAGATTCTCAAATTTTTGGGCCGGAAAAGACATCATAACTATAACTGAGAATAATATCATGGGGCAAAAGGGAAGGTGGAATACTTTTTTTAAAAGCAAAACGAAAAAGAAATGTTGGCTGAGTCTGGGGAGCCCCGCAAACATAAGAGACCTTTACACCATATTTTCACCAAAAACCACTCACTTGAACTCCAACAATCTCTCCATCAAGTGTGAGTCACCCGTGTCACTAGACTTGATCCATACAAAGGTCCCACTGTCATTCCACATCAAGCCGAATCATCACTTTGATACCACTTGTTGAAGAGGCCCAAGAGTGCCAGTAGAATCATCAATGAACTAAATGTCCATAATCCGTAAGAGACCTTTACAGAATGTTGAACAATTTGTTTTTGGAAGAAAAGAATGTTGAATAAATCGGGTAGAGTGAAAGCTGAGATTATTCAAGAAGGTCAAATCAAAATTACCAACAAAAGCATTCTTACCCTATTACATAATATATAAGCCTAACTTGTTTTTGCATAAAAACAATATTATCGAGTACAACAATCGCAAAGGCCAAGAAAATGCTTTGGTTCTGGGAATTCAAGAAACTGTCTTAGTAGCAGTTAGGAATGTAGAAAAAACTGAAAACAGAACTCAACCGTAAAACCAAATACTACACTAAAAAGAACCAAACCGCTCTCTGAGTTCACAAACCGAACTAGTGTTTTAAACATAGCTCACTAACCAAACCTGGACTACAAAAATAGAACCAACTGTTGCTCTCACTTATTTTCAGAACTGTTCAGTTTCAACAAACAGAACATAGTCAATTACAAATTGTACTCACTTTTTTATCATATTTAAAATAGGCCTTGTGATGTGCTTTTAGACAATTACTCAGTATGCAGACATGATTGCTTAGTCTACTACTAACCCATACAAAAGAAAAGTATGTGAATGCAATCCAAAATAAAATAACTTGCCTTTCATGTGGAGGAAACTTTACCTCTATGTTGCTCAACTTGCACGATGACCCTACTCCCCGTCAAGCCAAAACTTCAATCAAATCAATACCAATCACGAAAGTATTAATAAAATAGCAACAGACAATTTTAACAGCAATCTTTCATCCAGATAGCAGATTAAGTGCTTTGTGAAGTTATAGACCAAAGTTATACACATAATAGAACAACAACATACTTTTCATCTATGAACAGAATTGATAAACTCATTGAACAAATTTTTTTAACAAAACATGGAGTATCTTTACATCATTTTCATATGTTAAAACTAGAGTGCAAAAGAATCACATGGTAGCAATGGGATCCCAACTATTGGCACCCCAAGACTACCACCTATAATCTATAATATCTTTACATTGCTCTATTCTTTGCCTTATTAATAGGATGTTGCAAATGGTTCCAATTCATGAAATTCCATATGCAAGTAAACAACAACAACCAAGCCTTATCCCACTAAATGGGATCGGCTGCATGGATCAACTTTCGCCATAACGTTTTTTATCCATAATCATATTTCTATCCAAATCATTACTCTTAAGATCTTTCTTAATAACTTCTCTTATAGTTTTTCTATGTCTTCCTCTACCGGTAGTTGTTTGACTTCTCTCCATCTAATCTACTCCTCTTTTCAAAGAATCTACATTCCTTCTCTCTACATGCCTAAACCACTTAAGTTTATTTTTCACTGTCTTTTCTATTATAGGTGTTACCCCAACATACTCTCTAATATTGTCATTTCTAATATTATCATCTCTAGTCTTACCACACATCCAACCCAACATCCTTATCTCTGCTACACTTACTTTATTCTCGTGTTGATTTTTAACCGTCAAACTTTCTGTCTCATACAACATCGCAGGTCTTACCGCAGTCCGATAAAATTTTACCTTCATCTTGAGCAATACCTTTGTGTCACATAAAATCCTTGAAGCCCTCCTCCATTCCAACCACTTTACTTGAATTTGATGGTTTACATCCCCTTCTATTTCTCCACGTTTTGTATTACGGACTCAAGATATTTAAACCGCGTGACTTGTAGGATGATTGGTCTCCAACTTTCACCTCTAGGTTAAAAATGCTTCTCCTTTTGCTGAACTTACCTTCCAAATACTTTGTCTTACTTCCGCTTAAGCGAAAGTCATGCATTTCTAAAGCTCATCTTCAACCTCTCATTTAAATCCTCCTTCAATACTCCAAGTAGAACTATATCATCTGCAAAAAAAACATGCATCTCAGTGCTAGCTCTTTAATGCATCACGGTGCTAGCTCCATATGCAAGTAAACACAGTAAAAATTAATCATTATATTATAGTAAGATAAATTTTAGAAATGTGCATAGCATAGAGATAGATATGTAACAAAGCAGGAAGACCAAGCCCACTCTTTTGCAACCACGCTACAAAAGGAAGGATGCAAGAACAAATACATTAAAAAGGATGCATTAACGTTGACATGATCAGGGAGATGAAGTAATTAAGTAATGAAAAAAAGAACTTTCACGTCACAATTTGAAGATTTATAATAATAAACAACATTCGTTATAGAGTGGAAAAGGAATAGAGGAGGAAGGTATTTACTAATTCTAACTTTTGTAGCTTGTTCCATTAACATCATTGGTCGTGACAGCACACAATTGTTAAATTAAAATCAAATGCAATTAAGTGAAAAAATAATGATAATATTACCTGTGTACTCTTCAATATGTTGCCTGATCTAACAACTGATCAAGTAACTTCTGCTCTGTTGGTCGTGCATGTGGGATTGTGACTCTGTAGTTGTAACTTGTACTAAAGATCTTCCTTGTGTTTTTAGTACATGAATAGCCTTCTAAAAATATGTTTAACTTGAATTCAGCATGTGTTCCCTACAATATTCATCTCCTCAAAATCTTCCTCAGATGAGATAAACCCTTCACTAGGTACATAACCAGCATCTTTCATGAGTTCATTCAACCCATCCATCAGGGGGTAAATCTCGTCTGAATGAGGGTTGGAAGTGTCTCCAACTAAAAAGGGAGAAAGCTCTCTACCAACATCAACCCACGCACAACCAGGAGCCTTTTTCACACCCAAATCCCTCATACAAGTCCTCACTTTTGCTAGTTGGCTCCAACAACCAGCAGCTGCATACATATTTGCAATCAACACATAATAACCTGAATGATCAGGTTTCATTTCCAACAACTTTCCTGCAGCCCATTCCCCAATCACTGTATTTCCATGGATTCGACAAGCTCCTATTAGAGTGGCCCACATTGCTGAAGTCGGTTTGCATGACATCCCTGTGATAACCTCCTTTGCTTTGTCAAGAAGACCAGCCCTTCCAAAGAGATCAACCATACAGGAATAATGCTCAACCCTTGGATTTATTCCATAGACTTCTATCATCTTTCTAAATAGCAATTGCCCTTGTGCTACAAGGCCAGAATGACTACAAGCTATTAAAACTGCAACCATTGTCACATGATCTGGTTTAATATAGGAACTGTGCATCTCTTCAAATAGTTTTAGAGCAGTTTTTCCATCACCCCTCATACCATATCCCATAATCATGGAAGTATATGTGACTTCATCTTTCCTACTTAATGAATCAAAGACCTTCCTGGCTTCTAAAACTTTGCCGGACTTTGAATACATCTCCACTAGTGAGTTCCACAATAATAAATGGCCATTAAACTGCTCTTCACGCTTCACCAAGTAGCAATGAAACTCTTTACCGTGTTGTAGATTTGCTATTCGAGCACAAAGGGGAAGGACACTAGCAATGGTCACAAAATTAGGTTCAACACCCTCATGTAGCATTTCTCTGAAAATGAAGGAGACTTCCTCAGCTCGATCCATGTGAGCATATCCAGAAAGCATGGCATTCCATGTGATCAAACCTTTTTCATCCATTTTCTGAAACAACATATATGCATGATTGAGATTCCCACACCTTGAATACATTGTAATTAATGAATTTCTTACATTGTCAAACACATCAAAGCAAGTTCTTACAGCATGACCATGAATCTCCTTTCCCAATTTAAGAGCCCCAATGTGAGAACAAGCATTTAATCCAACAACCATAGCAACAGAGTCCAAATGAATCGCCATTCTCATTTGAGAAAACAACTTAAGCGCCCCTTTAAAATTTCCCGTATGCAAACACCCTCCGGCAATGGTATTCCATATAATAACATTCATTTCAATACCCTCCTCTTGCATACGTCCAAATAACCGAAATGCTTCCTCCCACATACCCCTAGAGGCATAACAACTTATTATAGTGTTCCAAGAAACATCATCTCTAACGGACATATTATCAAACAAGTGACGAGCAACATCTAGCTTCCCAAATCTACCATACATAAATACCAACGCATTGTGCACAAACAAACTCCACTTAATAGAACTATCTCGAATAGACTTATGAACCTCCACCCCAGTATCACAATCTAATAACTCCCCACAAGCCTTAAGAACAGATGGATATGTAAAATCATCTGGTTGAACATTCTTACTCAACATTTTCTTATAAACTGAAATTGCCTTCTCAAAGAAACTATTTCTAACATACAAAGAGATAACCATATTCCAATGCAAAGGATCCAAACTATTTGAACTCTCAGTAACAATGTGAGCATCATCAAGTAAATTAACACTTGCATAGAAATTAATAAGCTTAGAAACCAAGATAGAATTTTGATCAATACCGAGTGAAATAATATGAGCATGAAGCTGTTTACCCTGTGGCAGAGACTTGAGATTGGTGCAAGCCAATAGAAGATGTTTAATGGGTTGAAAGATTAGGTCAAATGAAGCATTTGAAGAAGAAGAAGTTGCAGCATGGTGTTGTATGTGAATGAAGGTTTTGAATGCATTTGATAAATGGCCATGAGTGACGAAATCTTTGAGGGATGCAATGAGAACAGGAACCATAGAGAAAGATAATGAATCAGTAGAAACGAGTGGTTTGTGAAAGGGTTTTGTGGGTTGTTGTTTCCATGAATTCGGAATACAGTTCTGAAGTTTAGACAAGAACAGGTTTTTAGGTCCAAGAGAACTACGCATCAAAGAAACATCGGTAGGTAGTTAGAGCGGAGTGCCCGGACGATGCGGCGGGCACACGGCGGAGTCGGCTTGGTGCAGTGACGGCGCGATAGAAGTAAATGTGGTTATGGAATTATTTGGATATTTTAATTTGAGATAATTTAATGGGTTAACTTAAAAAAATTAATTGGTATGGGTTGACACTGTTAAATAATTTTACACCGTTAATTAATCACCCTAATGCATTCCGTCACATCCTGTAAATTTTAAGTTAATAATATGATAAGATAGATCGATATATTTCTATTAAATGACAGTGTAAAATTATTTTATTAGAATGTCAGTAGATATCAATTAAACTCTAACTTATATTTAAGATCTTAATAAATATATCAATTTTAAATTTAAATATTCCAAGATCCTAATAAATATATCAATATTAAATTTAAATATTCTAGGATCCTAATAAATATATCAACATTAAATTTTAGTCTCACTAAAAAAATTTTTATGGCATGTCAAGTGCGTATTCTTCATGGACACCTCATATTTGTTTTAAGTTAATTTTTTTTAATAATAAAGCCAAACCTCAAGCCTCACACATGAACTCTAATTCCTTTCTTTTTCTTATTTCAACTTTTCCCTCCCTTACCTTTGTCTCCTTTCTTTTGTTCTCATTCTTATTATTATTCGCCTCCCTCCTCCATCTCTAACATCATGTCATCTTTATTAAGGCTAAGCAAGTATGTGTCGTAGTAGTCCACGAGTGTGAGGAACTGTGAAGTGAAAAAGTGTAGGTGTAATGATCATAAGATTTCATACATGTGCAAGAACGAACATAATAAAGGGAGAATGTTTTAGAGATGTCTGTATCGGAAAAATGAGTGTACTTGCAATTTATTCATTTAAGATGGTGATCTTGCACAAGGAAGGGATGATCATCAATGTGTAGATGCAAAATGGAGCAAATATAAGAGTAAGGCGAGGGCTATGCAGGTCGTAGAAACTTTGAAGGAGTTATATGAATCTGCAATGAAGAAAAACAAGAGGTCGAAGATGAAGATCAAGGCAAATGTATTTTGCGAAGAGCTGAAGACAATTTGTGTTGTATTTTCTTTTATGGTCAACATGTATTTGTTAATTAGGTGTAAATGTTGAATTATCTTTGTCTGTAATGTTGTCTCAATGATTTTGTAACGTATACTTGGTATGAACTATAATTTAGTGTAATTGTTTTTGTAATGTTCAATTGGGATGACATATGATTTGGTTTGAAGAGATTTGGTTCAGTTATGGCCTTTAATCTTGACATAAACATAATATAATGTATAATCTAAACATAATATGGCCTATAATTTTAACATAATGTAGTTTATAATGGCCTTTAATCTTGACACAATGTGGCCTATAATTTAGACATAATTTAATGTATAATTTTAACATAAACAGACCTATAATTTTAGCCATTGTATGATGTATAATTTGCACATAAGGTGCCCTAAATTTTTGACATGAGTTGAACTATAATATTGACATGAATTGATCTATAATATTGACATAATATGCGTTATAATTTTCACACAAGGTGGGCTATAATTTTCACATTAAAATTCAAACAGATAATTCTAAAATAATTGTTACATAGCATAGCAAAATAGTACATCATTACATTACATTAGTATAACATAGCAAAATAGTTGTTACATAGCATAGCAAAATAGTTGTTACATTGCATCAGTACATTTCAGCAAAATATCAGTTACATCAGTATACTACATCAGTTACAAAACATAAATATCCAAGCATTCATAAGCATCTTCATTGGGGTAGCCCCTTGCAAATTGTTGCCCAACTTCTTGATATCCTTTCACCAACAACAAATTCTTCTGTGTTGTCTTATTCAGCTATCACCAATGGATCATCGGGTTTCTTTTCAGGGTCAGGAATGTTCTTTGTTTTTAGGATCCTCAGCCTTTCACTATGCCTTTTCTTCCGCTACCACATCAGTTTGTGTCTTATACCTGCTATGTGTTTTAAATCTGACTGGTCCACTACAACTTGGCTTTGAAAGATTTGTTCTAATACTAGGGGGTTTGAAAGGTTTGTTCTTGCATACTTTGGGTTGCTTACCAAAGAAAACCTTGACACCAGTTGGCTTTGGCTTTGGTTCAGTTACCATGAGAGGTGATTTGTCAACACTGAACGACTGAATGTCCAAGACATCATCATCCCCTAGTAATGAAACCAAAATTTCATCATCTAAATCACAAAACTTATCCAAACCTGAAGAATGTGTAGGTTGATCCTTGACAGTTGGCTCATTAACATTTGGATGCACATATTTGATTGGGTCATTCACTTTCCTATGTATGGCAGCCACACCATGCCTACATGGTATCCCAAAGAGTTCTTAACAGTTGCAGGAGCATGTTTGTTTTTCCAAATCCACTATAAAGCTACCAGTAAATAATACATGTGTGACTTGAAAGGTTAATCTACTAGCATAAGTTGTTGTCCAACTAGCACTTTTTTCATTTTCTCTATCTAATAATCTCCTTAATGTTTGGTCATTATCTGCCCCTTATAACCATCTACCTTTTCTCTAAGGGTTGCAAATCTCCCCATTAGATAATTCCTAATTCAGTCAAACAGGGTTATTATTAGTTTGTCCCTTTGTAAAAGAATTGTTGCATTAAAAGACTCACTTAGGTTGTTCATTAACATATCACACTTTGAGAAAAAAAGGAAAAGTATGCCTACACCACTTTATTTTGGGAATTGCCTCTAACCATTCATATGCCTCAAAACTAACTTCTTTGATCATAAGCATCTTTTCCTCATGTGCCTCTAAATAAGTTGCCTTTGCAGCAGCCATCACGAGATCCCTAAATAATGTTCCTCCTCTAAACTTCTTCTTGAAGTTAGCATATAAGTGTCTTAAATAGAACTCGTGCTCATAGTCTGGGTACTCCTCTTCAAACACCTGAACTAGTCCATATTCTAAGAATATAACAAGTGCATTAGTACAGTCAAGTGCATAAAAATAAAAGTTGCATTAGTACAATGTTTGATGAAATTCAAGCTTACCTTTTGTTGGTCAGATATGAAACACCATTTATTATCTCCTATGTCTTTAAGAAGCAACTTGAGAAACCAGCTCCATGAATCTTTTGTTTCAATATCAACCACATCAAAAGCAATTGGAAAATATTGGCCATTAGGGTCTCTTCAAACAATAATAGGGAAAATATATGGCATCCATCTAAACCAATGAATGGTTTGCATGCTTTTGTCAAAGCTTTCTTAGTCCCATCAAAACACGTATAACACCTCTCAAATCTATGTTTCAAACCAAGGAGTTGGAACACTAGTGTTGATTTTGAAGTATTACCACCTAAAACCCTTCTCAACTCAGCACCATAATACCGTAGAAGGCTAAAATGTTTTATAGAGTTTCCTTCAACTATATGTCTTGTAATTTGTCTTGCTTTGAAAGCTCTACAGCCTGGGATTTCTGCGGCATACCTTTGTCTAACATCTATTACCACCTCACTTAACCTCATCTTTGAGTTATTCTTTAATCCACAACAATGACTTTGGCAACCCACTTTACTTTAGCACTTTTATTGAAGAATTGTCTTCCACATTTGTGCTTTATAAACAATATTTTAATCCTAAATGTGGCGGGGATTAGAACTCTACTGCACAAGACTGTATAATTACATTTTTTTCTTGTCTTTACATACCACCCTACATTTGTTAGCATCATTTTCTCAAACTTAACGTCCCTACCATTCAAAACATTATACTCTAAGATAAAATTTTTGAATTGCTTCAATGAAGAAAACTTCATTCCAACCTTGAAAACAAAATCCTTACTTAAAGAATATTTTACATTAAACCTGATTACATATGGCCTTTCATCACAACTTTTATCATCACCTCCACTGTCCAGTTCATCATTCATGTATGAATCTTCAATGACATGTTCCTTACCTATCTCTTTCATGATAAAAATCTCCTTGTCTGGTTAAGTAGGGCCCTCATCATTAGCAACAGATTCAATTTTTGGTTCTCTACCAAGCCTCTCATCAAACACTTCATAAAGCCCTCCTTCAAACCCTTTCATTTTCTCTTCCTCACTATTATCAAAGTGGACACCCCTTACAGATTCATCACTAGAATCACCACCAGTTTCACCCAACATGTCACCATCTTCATCATATTTCATCCCATTTCCTTTCTCTCTAAACCTATCCATAAAGGTATCCTCTCATGTAATTTTATGCTCGCAAAATATCTCAATTTCACACTTATTTCCTACAACATACATGGCTAACTCATAAGCATCTACATCATCCTTAAATTGTTTTAAGTCTTCTTCAAAATATCCTTCATCATGTTTCCACCGCATCTTAACACAACTTAGATCAAACTCAGGGTTAATCACTTTAACTAAGTCACGTGCTTTAAAGAAAGACCAGTAATCAGGATCTTGACCACTAAAAGCATATACTTCCCCTCCCTCATATCTTATGTTAGGGTCTTTTATAAAACAGGCATTTGAGTAAAATACAACCTTGAACTTATCCATTTTTCTGTTCACAAAATTTAACTTAGGTTAAAATTTTACCGTAACTAGGTCAAACTGATTTACCCTAAATTTTTCTAATATTGATACCAAAATTAGTTCAAACAAAGTTACCAAAAAATAAACGTTTACACAAATGGTAATAAGATGCAACATAGTAAATAAACCGAGACCACTGAGAAAGCAATGAAGATGACAAAGAATAAGAAACGAGGGAACAAGGAAGTGACAAAGTACATTATTTGGGACCACTTCAGCGGATTATGAAGTTGTTTTTTAGGACCACTAGAGCCACGGTGCTAAACTTGTTTTGGGAGCAATACAAACGAAGATTTGTTCGTTGAACACACCAAAGTATTTTTCCTTGACCACAACCAAGCTCCTTGAAAACAATGATGACTTATTCTAAGGCACAGCAAGCATGTGAAAT